CCATATTGAAGAATATGACCGGATGGTCCGTTGCTCCAACTAAAGTGGTACCATCATAAATTCGATTCGTATATTTCAATTGAGTGAAATATATATCATAAAAATAAAATCCATTTGCACTTCTGTCTTCACTATGAAAAACAATGAAAAAATGAAATAATAAACGACAATGGTATTAATTATAATAATTATGTGTTAATAAATAAATATTATCAGAGTGAATAGAATCAATTTATATGCTAACTGATGTCAATTCATTTATTTATTTAATATCATTATATTTGTTTAAGAAGTAGTGAATGCGTCGAAATAGACGTTTTTGCTTTGAAAATTTGCCGTTCATATCTAATAAAGATAAATTTAATAGTAGGTAGGAATTTATTCCATTTAAAAAATTAGTTAGTTAATTAACTAAAATTAGTTAGTTAAAAATTAGTTCTTTATTGCAATTTCCGTAATTTTAATGCTATTTACCTTTTGTTATAAGAATCAATCTTCCTGGCTGATTGCAGTAGAATGGCGCAGAGCGTTGCTGTACTCTTTTCGAAGAGACTGTGCTAAGTTTTATTCTCGACAGGAATTGATAGACTTATCTTTCGGAAAGCCTTTCTAATACTGGGCGACTCGCTTGCTTCAAAATTCTAAAACATTTTTGCCAAAACTATAAAAAAATTTGTCCGGTCCGACAAACTAGAGAAGCGAGACTAACAAGAAAAATGGTTCGTAGAAAAAATTAATGCGTTTTTCCTTTCGTCTTAACAGCATTCATCATTCTGATATCGTTGGATCTGCTACTATTAGGAAGAGATCCTTTCGCAAGGGATTTACTTGGATTCACTTGGAAAAGGATTTATTTACTTGGATTATTAGAGATGTCTGACACCATTTGGATTTCACTTTCAGTGACGAGTTTAAGAATTTGAAAAAAGCTGGAACCAAATCCATGATTTTCGGATATCAATCGAAACACTTCTGAACCATTCCGACCCGATTATTCATAATATTCATTTGATTATTTAAGATTACTGTGAAATTTAAAATCAATTTTTATTTTTTCGTTGTTAATTCAATTGAGCCAATCTTTTCATATTTTTTAGCCATTTTCATTTCAAATGCAACTTTTTCATGATTTATCAACATTCCTTTTTTTAGGTTATTAAAACAATTTTGAACCACTTCATATAAACAAGAAATATTTTTTTAATATTTCAAATCATTGCGCCTATGGACCTATACGTTTACTGATCCCTTAAGCCCCGCACCCCGCATAATTCTCTGGCGAAAAGCCTAAGCTATGCATGGAAGCAGCAAAATCATAAATAATGTCTTATTTAATCTTTTGAAAAAAGGAAGCAAATTGCATACTGTGGATTGTTTTGCATTAAGGCTTCTATGATGGCTTTCCTTTTGATTATTTATAGTTTTAGCCAACCTTATTTGAATTTTTTAATCGAAATACTCAAAATTTTTGAGGTTTCTCAATAAAGGAAAAGGAAAAATCTGATCTGATCGTATTCTTTTTCATTACTTCTTTTATTCAGTTATATAAATGTGAAAATTGCTAAAAGATTGCTAATTAAAAAATTGATTAAAAAAATATTTCGAGAAATAATATTATATTATTATCTATTATTAATATTATATTATTATTATCTAAAATGTTATAATATTCAAAAATTAAATTATATATGAAAAAATTGTCAAAGAAATAATTTCTGATAAAATGTGTTAGGAAATTTTTCAAATTTTTTTTTTTAAAAAATTAATTCCATTTAGAAATTTCAAATTGTTTATGAAGCAAAATAATAAACGCACCACAACCTTTTTTTAAAAATTAATAAAAATAAACTAATAGAAATTGACTTTTTTGACTACTAAGTATTAAAATTTTAAAATTAAAATTAAATTAATTAAAATTAAATTAAAATAAAACGAAATTAAAATTTTATTTTCATGATTCTTGCTTATAGAAATTAACTTTCGTAATTCCACTTTGTAAATTAACAATTTAATAATTTCGTGATTTTTTTCATTCTCAAAAAATTTTTTTTCGTCAAAAAATTTTGTATAGCTATAAGGGCATTATTTTCGCTCATTTCCATAATTTTAAATGATTAAACTTTTATCATCTTATAAAGATTTTTTCCTTTCACTTGCAGGGCATCTTATCATTTCTAGTTTCGCTTCATTTTACCAACTACTAGGACATTGGGACTATTTGGCCAGTGAGCCACTTAGAAACAGTCAGTCTTCTGCGCAAACTCCATTTCACTTTTTACAGGTTTATTGAGTCCATTCTCATGCCAAATGATATTCGTCCTTCCTATAACCGAAACAGCTGGTTTTTCTTTTAGGTATTCTCTACAATGTAACTTTCAAATACGAAACTTTCAATACCATAAAGTAATTAAGCAAGGAATCGTTATTGTCTTTCTTTTTGTAAATTGTTAGCATAAATTTGAGATAAAGTTTCATACATTGAATTAACATTTCTAAAGTTTTTTTTGACTTAGGGCGTTAAAAAATGTCTCAAAGACATAGTTAAACAATTACTACCTTAATAAGCAGGCATTTCAGCAAGAATAATTTAATTTGTATTTATATTTCGCTTAATCGAGCATCTTTAAATATGTTAATTATAGTCATTAAGAATAAGGATTATAATAATATGATCAAAATAATATGATCAACTGACTTCTTTAACTCTGATTAGTTGGAAATCTTCGATGGTGTTCATTAGTTTTACATTATAAATTTGCAGTGATTGGAAAGAAAATTTGAGAAATTCGCAAATTTTTTTTTTCGTTTATAAAATTCCTCAATTTTTTTCTTAACGGCTACCCAAATAGTCGCTGAAAGGAAATCAGCAATAAATTAAGAAAATTTTATTTATTATATTAAATTTATTAAATTTTATTTTATTTTAAACGCTGATTTTTCAATATTATTTCAACAATTTTCTAACAGAATTCCCAATAATTTAAGCGAAGAATGGAAAAAAATTGTACTTTTAGTAAAACGAGAAACTAAGAAATATTCATATATGATAAATTTAAAGAAATAAAAAAAATATTGGTCAAAAAGGGTTCAAAATTTTGTGCTAAATAATTATATGTTTGCAGAACAGCTGCGTGGTTATCGCTCAGATAATCGTCTTGAGCGTCACGATTCGTACTTGTCTCCTTAATAGGCGCATATATGTCATTAAAAATCCGGTTAATGTTTGCAATTCCTCTATAGTTTCGTCGCCGATTGATTTCCCTTGCAAAAAACTTATGGCCGTATTAACTTCTCGCCAGTAGTGCGAGCTGCTAACCAAAAATGATATTAAATGCTAACCAATATATATTTAAAATAATTATTTGCTGCATAAAATCATTATGGAATAATCGCATAATTTAATTAACATCATTAAACCTTTCGACACGGTCTTTGTTAACAACATAAGTGATATAATTGTGATATAATTGTACATCATTTTGCAGGATATTTTTAAGAATGGTATCAGTGATGTGATGTTCAACTGTCAAAAGATCAATGCTTAATCGCATTTTGCTATTTATTACTTCTTTATTTGAATAATTATTGGTCGGTAACTATTTATATAGTATTATTAATTAGTTTTAATCGATTTCTCAGCATTCACATTCAATTTGCATGCGCCATTTATTATTTGCAATGAGGTTTTTTTTATCTCTATGGAATTTGATATATTTGATATATTTGATACTTAATTTGATATATTTTTATTTTTAATTTCGTTTGTTTTTAATTTTAATTTAATTTGTTTTGGAATAGTCGATTTAAAGATTAATGCAAATTTAATAAGCGACGATTATAATAATAAGTGATTTGAATTTGCATAATAAAATAAAAAGTAAAGTTACAACAAAAAAGAAAAAGATGGAAAGCAATCGTGAAAAACATAGATGGACTTCCAGCAGCTATTCGGATTTCACTTTCAGTGGTCGATTTCCTTCCAAACAGCACGATTTCTGGTTTGGCTGGCTTCATTGATTGGTCGATAGGTGACCATTATCACCCAGATTTCACTCTTAATGAGTTATATCCCGTCAAGAGATAACCATAAAAACTCATGGTGCTTCACCTTAATCAAGGCAACATGCCAAAAGCAGAGATAACACTCGGCCATTCTCCAATGGCAAATTGCCTTATCAGACTCAACCAAAGCAAACCACTCGAACTAAGCGTGTCTATTCAGTTTTCCTTCAATTCAACAATTTATTCAACAATGAATCCAAACTTATTCAACAATGAATCCTTGTTTTCATGTTTTCAACAAAAGCTCATTTTTTGATACGAGTGGTTTGTTTACAATGAACAAATAATTTTTTCAGTCATCGATCTTCCTCGAAGCCTTATTTGCTGTAAATTTTTCTTCCTAATTCTAAATTACCTTCGAACCTTTCAACTGTAATTAATGGCTCATACTTCCATGAAAACAAAACGAAGATTTTCCTTAGACATGCGGGATTTTCATCAAAAATTGATTTCCTATCATTCAAAGCTCGGTTTTTCAAACCAATCGCACGTTCAATAAAAATAGTTTTCATCAAAAGTTCGTAAAAATTGGAGAAAACTTAAAGATTTGAACTTTAAAAACTTAAACTTTGGAAATATTACAATTGTTTTAATCGTTGCTCGCCATAAGTGAAAGGCATTTGAGTATATCAGTGATATATTATTGTACTGCAACCTTTAGATGAAGGAAATCCATCGTTTTAAAATTTTTAATAAGTGAAAATATTTCCCTAAATTTCGCCTTTTTTTTAAAATTTTTAAGGTATATTTCAGAGAAAAGGTATGTTTTAACTAATTTTTGTTTAAAATATTTAATCATCCAGAAACAACAACGCTTAATACTTATCGATGTTTTTATGTTTGGAGATTTGCTTGAAATATTTCGCTATCATTATCTATCATCTTTCACTGAAAATGGATTTACGAATATTGTAAATCGACTAAAAAGGTCGTTATAAATGGATGAAAGTGATTCGAATTTTAATGGAACTGCACCACCTCAACATCTTCTTAGTGATTATATCGAAATGGCTTATCTAATAATTGTTATTATTCTTGGAACTCCGTTAAATATCTATATTCTCATAAAATTATTTAAAAAATTGCAAAAATCGGGTAGCGATGCAATTAAGGTTGGTTGAAAAATAATTTAACTTATTCAATTTTATGAATCATGAAAACTGATTCTTCTTTTCAAGAATTTTAGTTAATTATTCAGCGAACTATTTATTTTTATTTCATAAACATCGAGATGCACCATTAGCATAGCGAACAAGAGAGTTCCAGTTCTTATGACTTTTTCCAAAAATCAAGAATTGGAGATTTGCTTGAAATATTTCGTTATCATTATCTATCATCTTTATCACTGCACACGAATTTGGGAATGTTGTAAATTGCTTTAATAGTTCAGTAATAATGCTAATATGAATATAATGAATATTTGTATGATAATCTGGTATAAATCAATATAGGCCAAATAGTTCCCATATAAATCTCTCAACTTTTCCTAAAACCTCGCCAAATACCGTATACTGTGATAGTCAAATTTTTCATCAAATTCCTCCTCTTCACTATTTTTTCCATTATTCTACTTCGCGCAATATTTGCTATAAATTTACTGATTTACGAATAAAGAAAAATAAAGTCGTTAATTCGAGCCAAAACTTTTACTTCTACTTCGTTTACTTATTTTGTTGTTTCCTTAGATTGTTTAATTAAAAAATAAATAAAAATAAAACTGAAACATAGATTTTCAAAATTTTTTATTTTTCGAATTTTTTCTTCATGTTTTTTTCCATTTTAATATGTTTTTGCAAATTTTGTTATTATATTATAAGTTTCATTAACTTATTGCTTGTAAAAATAAGTATATGGTAATATGTTTCATAGATTTGATATGGGCACTAGAAGTAAGTAAAGTTAAAACAGCAATCAAAGTGATAAAAAAATATTCCAAATTTGTTAAGATAATTAGTGCAGGATTTAGAACTCCAAAAAATGGTCTCTGATGATATTTGCTAAGCCTAACTTGGTTATATAAAGGCTATATTTTTCAAAACCAATAAAAAATGAAAGAGATAATGCTTTCAGATTGGATTCTTAATCCTTAAAATAAATTTGAATATATCTGATCTTTTGATATTATTGCTATTGGCATTTGGAAAATTATGTTGGTTAGCAACTTATGAATGGAAAGCGAATGAGCTTGCATGTAAAATCTTTAACTTTTTGTCAATGTTAACCCTATATATTAGTTCAAATATTGTAGTATGTATTGCTTTGGATCGTTTTCGAAATGTTCTTAGTGCATCAAAAATACGACGAAAATCGGTACGGTTCATTTCCTTTCTGAATTATTGTTGAGTTTAATTTCAGATATTTTGTTATGATCGGCCAGTAATTTCCAATATTCCCCTCCTTTAATGATCGACAACTCCGGTATCCATCATTACTGAATATGATTTGAGTCTAAGCATATTGCTGGCTACAAGCTTTTTCCGATCGAATTTTTAAGTAAATTTAAATTCTTAGCGTTACACCACTGTACAAGGATAAAATAAGTAAAATAAATTAAATTAAAAAGCTCTTTTTTCTAAAAATACTCAGCACATTCCGCTGACTTGTTGAACTAAAATTTACCATAAAATTACTTGACGATAGAAATATAGGTAATTTGCCAGTATACACGGATAAAGACAGGCTTATTCCTGCCAGCCGTTAGAATCTTATCGGAGTATAGGAGCTAGCAACAATTCATCGAATCATTTACCACTTATTCTTGCACCCCCTCCTGTCTGTTAATAATTAAAAACAACGGAAATTATAGAAGAAAATCGCTTAAATATTGAAATATTATAACTATGAAAAAAATTAAACTTTTAGCATTTTTTCCCATAAATTCTATCAATTTTGTATGATATCTAAAAATTTTCCAAATACTTTTTTTATAGAATTTTGTACGAATTATCGTGACCGTGTCGTGGATTTTAGCACTTTTATGGAGTATACCACAGCTTTACGTATGGGAAACAGTTAACGTATATCCTGAATGGCCAGGTGGTTGGATACAATGCTCAGATATTTGGTCAATTGAAAAATTCAAATCTTTACAAACTTCTGATAATTATTATACGAAAATCATCACACAGGATATGTATAATATATCACATTTGGTCTGTTTTTTTTTTGAAGATATTTATAGCTTCTTCTAACAACACCAATTCTCGCACCATTTCTGGTTAGGCTTATTCGGCTATTTACAAAAATATGGCTCCCTCCTCCTACCCTCTCCACCAACGAAATGGTTCGAAAATTCTAAATGGAATATTTACAGTTCGAAAGTTGTAAAATTTTCTTCATTTTAGTTGATTTTTATTTTATTTTGATTAAAATAAACCAATAATTACTTATCTATTAGTTGAAATGATTTGTTTGCCTAAAATCCGCTATAGAATTTTAAAAAATATTCAATTAAACATCGAATAATACCAATAAAATTTGTTTATGGGAAACGGAATAAAATTTTATTAAAAAAATATTTATTCGATTATTTTAATTTTCGAATAATTTTTCTTTTTTTTTTACTTATTCCATTCTTGCTTTTGACTATAATTCGAGATTTTCTAGAAATTACCGTTACTGTGATTATGAAATTATAAATTTTATCTTTGAAAAAATAAACTGGGATTTCTTATTTTGTCTAACTCCTTCTATTGAAGAAAAAGTTAATTTTCTTAGTAGCATCATTTTATGTTATATCTTATAGAACAATATCTCCCTTTAAGGAAAAAAATGTTAGGTCAATTCTTATTTTTCTAAAATCGCTTTAAAAAAAAAGCTTTATAATGAATACAAATTTACTAAATTACCAAACGACCACTCTGCATATAAAGAAAGCATAAAGAATGCTTTAAAAGTTTCCGTAGCGCCATTCATAAATACTTTTTAAATAAAGAGGAGCAAATTTTTAAATGTCAATACAGATTCTTTCTGGACTTACATTAAAAGAAAATTTGCATATCCACGTAAACAAATAATTCTGCAACATAATGATAATGTAATCACCTCTGATATTGATATTGCGAGTGTATTTAATCAATATTTTTCTAGTGTTTCTGTTGACGATAATATTAATGCTTCTTGTTTTAACGTAAATTTCAAATTCGTTGCACTTCTCTCTGTGAGCTGAAATAACGCTACTGGATGTTTATGATGCTTTAAATAGATTTAAGCCGTCCATTTCATCTGGTTCTGATAATGTTCCACTGATAATTTATAAAAAATGTGCAGTCTATCTGAGTCTCTCTGAGAAATTAAATCTGGTTTTCCCCTATTTCTAATTTATGAGTATGTTATGAAGTCTGGTCTTGATCCCAAAATTTGGAAATTGTCTCACATAATTCCCATTCATAAAAAAGGAAGCACCTATGATCCTTCTAATTACAGGCCTATTAGCCTAAAATGCGTTGGTGGCAAGGTACTAGAAAGGTTAATTTGCAATAAATTGCTCACTTATCTTGATGTCAATTTCATATCCTCCTATAAGCATGGGTTTTGTATGAAAAAATCTACTCTACTGACAGTGGAAAAATAGTACCAGTTGTGAACCTAGAGTCGGCCAAAGCTTTTGATATTATTTGCCATAGCAAGTTGTAGATCACACTTAATAGTTATGGGATTGCAGGGACCCTTTATAACTGGGTGTCAGATTACGTAAAAGATCGAAACTATATGCGTCAACAATATTCTTTCTGATAGAATAGTAGTTAAATCTGGTTTTCCCCAAGTTAGCTGTATTGCACCATTGCTTCTTCTATTATATATAAATGATATCACCAAAGTAATAATAAATTCTAGCATATTCTAACATTTATATATATGCTGATGATTGTAAAATTTATTATTCTCATGGTAAAGAGGATAACCTCTCTCCACTGCAGGAGGACCTCAGCAGAATAGCCAGTTGGCTATATGGCAGAGAAATTACCCTTTCTTTTCAAAAGTGCAACGTTCTTCATATCAATTCTAAAGGTTTCGATTCTTTTTATTAAGGGTAATATAATCAGAAGAGTCTCACACATTTTCAATTTTGGAATAATCATAGATGAAAATTTCGTTTTGACCTTCACTGCAGAATGGCAAAGAAATTTTCAAAGATACTAAATTTTATTTTTCATTTGTTTAAGAACAAAACTGAAGATTTCCTTATCAAAATGTACAAAGCGTTCGTTTGGCCAATTCTTGACTACAATACTATCTAATATTCCATGAGATATCGCAAATCAAATAAAATAATTGGAGTTCAAAAATATTTTATACGATGCTTCTCTCCTAATTGCAATTTTAATTATAAAAACGAACTTCTACAATATAACCTGGATTCCCTCTGAGTTCGTCGTATTAAACAAGATTTAATTTATACCTACAAGATTCTGTATGTTGTTTTAAATTAGGTTGTTCAAAATGATTATAACTTAAGGCTAAATTTGAATCCAACAAGAACTAATGGGCTAAAATTACCAAAACCTATGTGCGATACTAAACTAAGGACTTATGACTTTATTATTCGTACTATTAATTACTGGAATAAATTACCGAACGATATAGCTTGTGCGTCAACCTTAGCTATCTTTAAAAAAGATTAGATAATATTATTTCTGATATTATTTAAAAAGTTCACATCATGCAGGAAATCTCGATTTCTACCATCTGTTTACTTCGAATTGTACTGTACTGTATTATATTATTTTATAATTTTATCTTTATTTCTTTTTTTATCATTAATTATTATTATTTGTTATTTTAATTGCTATTAATACAAGCTAAATAAATAAATAGTATTTTGAACCATTATAAAAATTATTTAACGCTCACTAATAGTTTCTATGCAAAAAGAACGAGCAAAATAAACTATAAGTTGAAAATTTAAATTATTCTTAATTAAAAAATAATCCGAAAATAAGAAACCTGAAAGTTTTCAGCTTATAAAATGAATGGTGCGAGCAACAAAGTATTTTAAAAAATATTCATTTTATTATAATAATAAATATTAATTATAATAATTACATTGTATAATATTACATTTGAAAAGTGCTATAAAATTATTAATTCAAATATTTTTTATAATTTCTGATTTAATTAAATTGCTAAAATGGAATTTTAATAATTAAATACGGAAATAACAATTATAGATAAAATTCATACAAATGGAAAAATGAAATTAAATCAGATATAGACATAAATATAATATATAATAGATAAAATTTATATTCTAATTCTAATTTTCAGTTGCATTTTTAATTATAAATTATAATTTAATGAATAAATTTATAGTTGAATGTTCAACAAACTTTTAAAATATATGGAATAAAATTCGAATAATTTCATTAAAAATCATCGAAAGAGAAGCTAAAAAATATATAAATATTTCTAGATTCTCGTATTTTGGGGACCACTTTTTTTATTGGCAATCTGCTATGTTTCTATAGCCGTACGGCTTCTGCAGTATTCCATTACAAGTCCGTGTCATCAGGTTTATTTTCTTTTTTCAATACACTCATTCACTTCTTAATCTGCATAGATTTGAAAACCCCCTAGCACAATGGTTCTCGAACTGCGGTTCAAAGGGTCCTATAGGCCTTCATGAACAAAACCAGTTAAATCATAATCTCTTTCATTTTTTTTTACAATTGTTGGCTTAAACCTTTTTCTAAATCTTTTCCATAAATTTTACTTAATAAAAATTTTAACTGAATAAATATTTTCAAAAATTTCTTTTAAATTCCAATGCAAATATCGATATCCGAACTCATACATAGATAAACCATTTGAAATTCTCAATATTGTCTAGGAGAGTAAAATTCTGGGCAATAAAATGCTTAAAGATTTAATGCTTAAATACACTATATTATTTTATTATGTATGAGTTATTACTATTATAATCAATTATTATAATTATTATTGTTAATATTATACTCCAAATATATTTTTTATTAAAATAAAGCATTTATATCATTGTTGCATTATAGCATTTAAAAATATATAATAAATACTTTTTATTTTATTTTATTTATTTTGAAAAAATCATGAAATTGCAAACAAAATAAGAAAATAAATATAAGGTGGCCAATCACAAATATAATAATATTAATATTGAATTGCCATTATATATATATATATATATATATATATATAAAACATAAAATTAATAATTTGTAAAACCATATAATTATTAAAATTCGATTAAAACATTCAATTTAACAACTTAAGTGAACAAATAATTCCTATTTAGTTATCTGTAGTTTGCCGGAAATTACCTGAAAATCTCTTTTATTTCATATGCCTCAATGTTTTAAATATTGATAAAGAAATGCTTCACAACTAAAAAAATTTTAGGGTGATAATCGCATAATATCAAAAAGAGTTTTTTCAAAGACAAAAATGGTAATTAATGATAAAAAAACTGCAGATTTTCGAACGAGAGGAAGCTCAGGTAAAATAAGTATTTATGCGATGAAACTTACTTAAATAATTTATGAATAAGTATTTATTTACAAATAGCTATAGTTGTAGCCATTATGGATTTAAGCATATTTAAAATATTCTTATCATTTGGTTCACAGATGAAGCTGAAGAAGATGAAGATTTGGCTATCGTACGCAATCATGAAAATAATTTACAGCGATTAAAGCATGATCGACAAATTTCAAGCCTTTTAAATCATCAGCCATTTTACTGCCTTAATAAGCTTTATCATAATTCGAAATCTGTTGCTTCAACTAGGTATGCTTTTTTTAAACAACTAATGATGCCTAGATAAATTTTCAACATTTTATTTTTGCATTTACTATTAAAAATTTCTAATTATTTGTTTTTAAATATTTTAACAGATGTTTATTTATACAAAAATATTTGTTTTGTAGAAATAAATATTCAAATCAACAAACGAAATTGGAAATGAGAGAAATTTTCGTTAGAAAGAAATCATTTAGTACAGGTGGCATTCCTTTTAAATTTTATAAGAAACTAAAAAATAAAATATAACAATATAATAATAATAATATAAATATATAATAAAATTACTAAAAAATAAAATATAATAATATATAATAATATAAATATAAAATAAAAATAAAAAATAGAATAAAATATTACTGAAAAATAAAAAATAAAATAAAATATTACTGAATTCTAAATTATTTTCTTTATAACAAACAAATTTATCTTTTAGTAAAAATTATTCTCTTTATAGCAAAACTAAATTTGCATAAATTATTCCCTTTATAACAAAATTTTCGACAATCTTCGTCTAAAAGCTATCACCTTTACTGGTTAAGTTGGTTCCATTTGCAACAAGGATATGACTGCACGATCTAATGCCATCGTAACTAATTCTTTTTGCATCGTCTAAATACATATATATATATTGCTGGTCCATCTATACGTTCAAAATCTTCCCAAGCCGTACCAATCCAGGTCTTGATTGGCCCATCTCGCTTTTGACGCCAATCATTACGATTTACCAAGTAACGAAATATGCGTTAACTCCTGTGGTGTACGACGGAGAACGTGCCCTAACCAGCGAAGGCGACGTTCTGTGATAACATCATTGATGCAAGTAGAGTTTGAACGAAGTTGAGGCCATTTTGGTTATATAACGAATCGCGACCTTTCGTTTTTATGGTGATTTCGCGATGGCACCATAAAGGTTTCCTCACCCGAACGCATTTCACGCAGTTTGAAATGAAAATTATTTCACACAGTTTGTTGTACACCTTCACAAACTATCAGATAGAAAAATTTTTAAACTTTTTTAAACTTAAATATAGCCAAATAATAAATAATAATAAATAATAAATTTAATAATAAATAATAAATTTAAATAATAAATTTTTAATAAATTTTTAATTCTAGAATTTTAAAATTTTAAAATATTAAAGAAATACGGAAAAATTTAGGCTTTTTCCATTTTCATTAGAATATACTAATGTTCCGTAAAAACTATTGCTATCCTTATCCTGGTTGTATTTTGCCTGGTTATTTGTGATAATTACTTCTTGTATATAAGAAGAAAAGGCTTTCGTTTTATTTACATCCGAAAGTCAGAATTTCCTGACATTTGTGCTAACGCATTTCCTACTTGCATATTCTAGTGTGCAATGGCTGTCTTTCGGAGAAATTCCTTTAGTTGGGACTAGTATTTATTACACCATTCCAGAGATGTTACTGATTTTCATTTCATTGAGATGCTTCAATAATTCGGTTTAAAATGTACTTATGTTCTCGAATTTGCATAATTCTCTTTATAACAAAATTTTCGGTATTAATAGTAGTATTTTAAGTTTAACAATATTGATTTTGATTATTATATTCATATATTATAAATTAACATTTCTTGATAACAGATAAATAAGATAATAGGTAGCATTTGAGTTTTGAAAGGATGCAAAAAATGACTAATTTTGGCTAAAAGCTTATACATCTTCAATTCAGAACAGTATTGATTAAGTCCACAAAAACTTTTAAAAAATTGAGAAAATTATGTTAAACTGAAAGACTCAGAAAATTAGATGCAATTTATTGACAAAATAGAAAATTGGCACTGTTTCACTAGCATAGGTCATCTAATAAATTCGAATATTTTTGAATTAAGGTCTATTTAATTAGATCTAACGAAACAGTTTTCAGCGGTATCTGAAACTCATAATTCTGCTTGGCGCAAGCAACTACGAAACCGAGTATTTCGTACAACTCTCTTAGTCGTTATAGCACATATCTTATTTTGGTTCCCGTATAATTTGTATGCACTTATGAACTATGTAAATGTCGATTTGTATTTACAAATGAGCGATCATGCTAACGTATTTAATGATTTACAAATTCTTATCACACTTGTCAATCCATTTTTATATGGGTTCGATTAATATTAATGAATATGTGAAAGAAATGGATAAAAAGCTTTTCTGAAAATTTATTTATTGAACTTATTTAACTAATGAACATGAAAAAAGTCACGAAAAGGAAAAAATTGGCAACAAATCATTTTGACCACTAATTTTTTAGCGGATTTTGGTTTCGCACAATTGTCTGATACTGCAAAATTCATTCCTTTTCACAAATAAAACTCTTATATCCGTGAAAAACCTGGAAATTGTGCACAAAATCCAACTTCTCTTTAGAATTAAGAGGAAGCAAAGGTCAACTTTTGAATTTTAAGGAATTTCATCAGCTTTTAAGCTTTTTTCAAGGATCAGAAAAAATTCTCTCTTCTAAATAGGACAATCACTATATAAATAAATATTTTAAATTTACAAGATATTTTTTTTGTTTTTCTGAAAAAACTCGCTGTTAACTTTCATATTGAGTTGATAAATAGTAAATATTTATTTAATAATTATAAAATTTCTTTAAAGGAATTTATCCGAATTTATTCGAAATTTATCCGAAGAATAGCGAAACTCATTCATATGTAAAGAAATAGTAAAATTACGGAGAAAATGAAAGCATATTAGCCAAAATCATTCATTAGCGAGAATAATGTTTGGATGAAAGAAAGAAATCTTCTGCAGTGATAAAATCTGCAGTGTAATGGCTGAGATCTCGTTATATTCCCTAAAGATCCGAGAAAATACGAGGAGATCTTACAAAACATGCAAAAAAACTGGCAAATAAATATTCCATCATATCTAGGAATTCTGAATCTTGTTCCATTAAGAGGATTTAATTTTAACCAATTAATTGTTTAATCACATTTCTATAAAAACGAATAATTAAATTGTCATATTGTTATTTCTATGATTTGCTATTGAAAAATAGAATAATTAAATCGTGATTATTTCCATGATTCGCTGATAAATTTCGGTTCCGTTATTTTATCCAAAGCGTAATAAAAATATTAAGCGCTGCTGATAAGTGCCTTCGCTTTTTTAATTTTAATTCACTTAGTCAGTGTATTCTTTAGATATAATTTAATTTGTCTATTTTTAATTTCTCTAGTTTAGACAAAAAAATAATGATTTCATGATAAAATATTCAAGAGAAATAAAAAATAATAGAAATCAAAATTCTTGAAAATAAAAAACTGGAAAGACGTTCTTTTCAATATTTAAAAAATGCCAAAATGACAAATTTTGAACTTCAAAATAGGACTGAAAATTTTGTCTAATAAAGTTTCATTCATAGTTTCCATTTTTTTCGTAACTTTCACGATTATAAAAAATATTTTTCATTTTTTAACTGCAACATCTATAAGAATAATGTAGCATTTTTCTAGCAATTTTTCCAACTTTTCCAATTTTCTTGTAAAATTTCGTTTTGATTTAATAGGCAAATAAATATTTTGGATTAATTTAAAAACAATGAATGGAATTTAAAATTAGAAAATGAAATGAACTTAAAAAAAAAAATCAGCCTCTTAAACAAATTGAGCGAAAAAAGAAATAGTAAAGTTAAAATTTATTCCATTATTGCGAAATTAGTTTTGTATTCAAAAATAGAAATATAGAAATAGAAAAATAGAAATATTTTTGATGATTCTGGCAAAAGTTTAAAGTCAAGCCAACCGTAATAATCCGAATTAACCCTTTTTGCGTTAGTGAGCAGACAGTAACAAAAACTTACATCTGATTCAGCGAGCAAACAGCGATTTGAAAATTTCGTATCTGTGCAGTCACAACGAACCAATAATCGACCTTTAACGTAACGTCCATATGGATATCTGAATTAGAGAGACTTCAGAAATGCTAATTTGTTTTTTTTTTGAAGAGTCCTCACCATTGCTGGTTCAAAACTGCTCCACTGGCTTGTCGTATTGGACAAATATGCCAGGGAATCTTTTGGCGATAGAAAAACAGGTGAGTCGCCAGCATCACCCGGATTTTTAGGTTTACTTCTGCGAAGAATCGAACCTCGGCGCCCCCAATTGAGCAACAACCTACTGAACCATTCTATCCCGAATTTGTTTCATTAATAAATGTTTAACCCCATTATACAAAGAAAGACAATTGACGCTTTGCATGTTTAACATTCACTTTTTACTTGGAAATTTGAACAATTTACAATTAAATGAAATAAAAAAATTTAACTTTAAATTTAATGAAGAATATCAATTTAAATTAAATTTTAAATTAACTTAAATCAAATTGCGGCATTTCGCACTTAAATTAAATTTTGCGGGAATTAAGCGGAAAATAGAAAATAGAAGAAAAGTCAAGTTGTTGCTAATAAATCGCAAACTATGGAGAAGCAAGGTAATAATTTTCAAATAAATCAAACAATACCGAGCAGAAGCGATAAGATCAAATTTGTCAGTATAATTCGTTTCTTTTGTAGTAACCAAAAGACGAAATGGTTGTATTTCTAAAATTGAAATCTAATTACAGCCTTTACTTTTTTTGCTGCAGTAATCACCAATCTTGTTCCATAATGATGGGGCAATTTGGTCATTTCAGGATAGACGTGTAGAAAATCCCGGCATCACGCGATTTTTTGACATATTTATTCCTGCCAGAGATGAAAGAAGAATGCTAGAGATAACTAAGCAATATGCCATTCGGCCGTACTACTCCTATATGTTTATTAGGAATCGAAAGTCATTTGAAATTTTAGAAATATGCGATAGCCGTTGTTTAAAAATTTCAAAAATGTAGAATGATCAAAAAATAATTTTCAAATTGAAAGAATTAAACATAAATAGATGGGGCATTAAAATGAGAAACTTGGAAATATTTGAGCTTAGCCAATGGAGCTAAAATCAGAAATGGCTTCTTGGAAAAGAAAGAATTTTTTAAAATACTAACCATAATCGGCAACTTCAATTATCAGTGAATTAGAATAAGCGTAATCACTGCCAATAGCCTTTGCAACGATTTTCCAATGACCATAGGATAAAGAATCCGGAAGATGGAAATTTAGAGCAATAAAATTTTTCTCAGTTTGATTCGTTCTCCGAAATAATTCAAATCCTTTAGGATTCTGAAATTTTATTAAGTAAATGACCCAATACTTTGGCTTAACTATCTGCGAAAAATATTATAAGGAGTCGTTTACAATAAGTTTGAATTCGATAGGCCCACGATACAAATTTCCATCATTCGTTAGTGAGAGAGCTCGAACTTGAACTAAAATATAAAAAAATTCCATTTAGCTTTCTTTTATTTTATTATTTATTTTCATTTTATTCATCATTTTCTCATATTTCTATCCGTTAAATCATTCCAATCAAGTGCAAATTGAATCAACGTTTAAAGATTTTTTTGTTTTTCGTTATTTTTTGATTTTGATTTTTCGATTTTTTTTGACTTTTTTTTCTGAGTATTATTGCTAAATTGAATTGGTAGATTGAAAAGAAAAATAAGAATAACCGGTGTCACCAGCTCGATAGACACCCTTGTCAGTTTGCAAGTGAATTTTTGCGACATCTGGGCATCCAGGAACAGTCGCCTCAAATTTATCATCATTTGATAGTGCAACTGATACATTAAACCACGGTTTCAAAATTTGTTCTGCTATGTGAAAATTTACTTGAATAGCACTTCCTGAAAAATTTCTTCGATACTGTTTGGAAAATTTAGAAACAACTGATTCATGCATTTACCGAATGTTATAGCAAATGATGGCTATTGTTAAGAACTTTATAATTTTCATGTTCTCACCTGCTAGCTTGGCAGAAAGAATTTGCTGAAATACGATTTCTTCATCAGACCAAATTTTTAGATGCACATCGACAATATCTGGTGACTGACCAGGTGGAGTAACAATAATACGATTGTGCGCATTCCAGTAAAACACTGATGGCAAAACAACAAGTGGTACTCTAAGAAAAAAGTATAGAATTGTTTTCATCCTAAACGCATGAAAAGAAGAACCTGACTCCATATACAAAATATCTACTATGAACACTGCATTCATGCAATTTTCAAAAAATTTTTTGTATGAATTTTGACTGAATCTTCGATGAAATTTAAGAATTTTTATTCATTTCCATATGCATAATTTGGAATTTAAGAAAAATTGTCGAATTCTGCAAAAAAACAAGTAAAAAATTTTTAAAATTTCAGAGACTAACAATTTGGCTGCAATAATTATATTGACAAAATAGATGAAAAAGAAGATCATCGTGAAATATATATTCAATAAACCATTAGTATATCGAATCTTTCTATAAACAAATGGTAATGGTAATGGTTTTTTTTTTGATAAAATTTCAAATCTAATAGTAGGAAATGCTATTTTATCGACAAAACTATAAATTTTATAGTCCTTTGAAGTGACTTTTCCACAGTGTGTACAAACTTATTTATCTTATGGTACCTTTAATATAGAAAACGCCAAAAATAGCTTAGCTTTAGGAGGAGGGAAGAACTTAAATTATTCTAGGGAAAACTGCATAAAATTATAAAAATAGCGCATAAATTTTGAGAATTGCTGGGAAAGGAACTAATAAAAACATTTAAAAAAACTTTGTCGAACAAAGCGATGAGCATCGCAAAGTGGCCCTTTTTATTCTCGCCATGTTTTCCACCCACATGCTGTGCTCTGTGGCATCTGTTTATTTAAAAAACCTTAAGTTAAATAAGCGGCTAAATTCTGATAAAAAGAGAAACACTGTTATATGACCGGTGCAGAATTTTATGTTGGTTATGTGTGATAAAGAGAGGTGTAAAAATATCTGATTAAAGTTGATTAACACAACGAAATAACACAAAATGGGAGCAACAATAGAAGAACCTTTCGCATCAGAGAAGCACTGAAAGCATGGAATAAAAGCATGAATGCTTTATCCCGGACTGCACTTTAATTATGCAAATTTATAATTTCATATCTCTCCGCTAATAACTTTCAAATAATTGAATTTGGCCAGCCAAGAGTGAAATCAGATGCAAAAATTTGTCGCATTAAGGAAGTATGAATGAATGTCAAGGAAAACCATCGCAAAAGATAAAAATGAGGCGCTCATCAACTATGTAAACTGTGATCACTTTTTTTTGATCGAAATAATTAATCGCATCATCAATCAAAACCAAATCAATTCAAATGGCAGCAAATATTTAAACTATCGATTTATAAACTTGTTTAAATCCTTGTTTAAACAAAATAATAGTAATTTGTTCAAACAAGGATCGAGAATTAATCGGATCTGAGCACACACTGTTCCTGGCTGGGCTGATTTTAGCAACTACTAAAGTGAGGCGAAAAATTTACATTTAAGGAGGATGCAAATAACCGCCTGGATTTCATTAAAAGACAGGTTCAGTCAGACAAGAGTCGAACTCATGCGTGCATGCGTCCAAAACATCTCATTTAATGATAAATAATTTTCGGGAGGCTTTTTTATCACGACGACTGAAAAAAACAATGCGCTCTTTTTTAGGTTTTGTAACGATATTTATGAATTTTATTACAAATTTTCAATAACAATTTTAAATCAAATTTTTTTTCTCCATACGATGAAAACGTAAAAAAAACAAAGCATAAAATTGGTGAAAGAAAAAAGCTCCTTTACAATAGTTCTGCAAACCTCCGCGATGAATTAATTCTTCAAACATATTTTTTTCATTTATCAAGAAACTTCGTTTTTTTCATAAAAAATATATGAGAAAAATTTATTTTATTTCTTATATGAAACGTCTGAGAATATTTATTGCATTATGTTTAATCGAAAAATTTGCAAATCGATACTTTCATTTGCCCCATGACCCCTGTAAATCTATTCCTAATTTTCTGGTAGCATGTATCATTGCTGGTTTGGTTCATTCCACTGGTGATAAGGCTAAGATTTCCAAGCCTTCCGATTTGGTGCCACTCCTGAAACTAAAACCATTTCCATCGCCTTAACCTGTACATCTGTATACCCCTATGCGTTTAAAATCACGCCTGACCTTATCAACGGAGCTCTTGATCCGTATGCTTTTGACATCATCCATCATAATATTTAGCAGATAGCGAAATATGCATAAATCCCTATGGTGAACGACGAAGAACGTGGCCAAAACGTGCAGAGCGAAGATGGATGGAATCAAATGAGATTTTGCCTACTTGGGTCATACACTTATGATACACTTTGATACACTTTAAGTAAGAACGGTCAAAGGCAGATGGGTTCTTGATATCTTTCACTCCCACTGGCCAGGTTCCGCAACTATTTATTAGGATTGTGCATATTATTCCAGAGAATTTTCGCCGAACGAAAGGCAGCTAGTTAGCTATTCAAGCTGGGATTTCATTTACCTGGCTGTTAAGTATAATAGTGGATCTGAGATATTTAAAGTCTGATACTTCTTCCGCTGATGAATATATTTGAATTGTGATGTAAAAGCTTTTAATTATAAGATGAGAGTTTCTCACATCTACATTGATTTGAAGGTCACTTTTCGCTGCTGCTTGTAAATCTATTATTATCTTATTCAATATTGTGCCACAGTACTTTATCATCTTTTCTCGTCCCTTTTCTTATGGCATAATCAATCTTGCTTTGATTAATCCTGCTGCTGAGGGTCTTTTGCCTGAGGACAATGTAAAAATAAAAATGGAGGGAAAGAAACCACTGGGATTCCATGTTTGACGATAAGTTTGCTCATTCAAACTCGCGCCATTTCCACCCATCGGAAGCAGTTCAACTACCTCTTTTATTTGCTTTAACATTACTCAAATCCATTATTAAGTTTGCTTCATTTTCGACATGTTTCGAAATCTAACCTTTATGAAAGTCGAGAATCGATGCAAAAGTCTGTGGAAAATTAGCGAAAAAATCAAACATTTACAAGATTTGTTCGCAACAATTGGTTTTACGGAGGCAATGAATGAAGGAATAATAAATAATTGTTGACCTGAATTATTGGTTGGTTGTGAATTTAATGATTTAAAAGTCAAATTTGGAGCAAAAAAAGATTATTTTAATGAATGAATTATGAAAATAAATTTTTTGTCTTCATTCGAAGGAGAAAGTGTAAACTAATAAACTAAAAAAAAGGCTTTAAAATTTCCGGAAAAAATAATTAAATTATTAAAAAAAGACCATTCGATGTGCAAAATATGGAAAGAAATAGCAGTAATGGGTTGGAATTCCTATAATTTTTTCTCGAACAATTTCTTGCCAATGTGTAGATCAAACTTCATATAATGTCTTTTTTTCCAAACACTTTTCTGAATATTGAAAAGAGCCAAATTTTTTCGAAAAGATTTTCCATTTTTCATTTATTCAAAAAAATAAGAATAAAAGATTGATTGATACTCGCCATTTTTGGCTTTAATAAAATAGGGATTTTAAACCACGATCATTGGGAGATGGAAGTGGGGGATGAGTTGAGAGTCATCACTCGGATTTTTAATCCCACTTTTACTCATCCCATATACAGAATTTGAACTCTGCCACTCAAGGCAACGAGCTTAGCCATAACTACTCGGCTATCCTATCTTTCATGCAATAAAAAATATTTGTGAAACTTTATATTTGTGACTAGTGAGATTCATTACTGAGCTAATATTCGGCCAAAAATTTTACAATTAAAAATTAAAAATTTTAGATTTATATTAAAAACATAAAGCAGTTTAATTATTTTTCCTTCATTTTGAAAAAAATAATGGTTCAATGGTTTTTGATTGATAAATGAAATTTTTTTACTTGTGATGACATGTTTGCATGAAAATCTGAAAATTCTTTCATTTTTTGCATTCAGTTCCATACTTTGCATTTGGGCTAAAACTTTGGAGAGAAAATTAAATGGATTCGAACCAGCATTTCACTTCACCAACGAATTAATTACCAATCAATTAAGGATCAAAGAAGAGGAGATTGACAAGGTAGTTTTTTAGTTTTCATGAATTCAGAGTGTTCAGGTGCATCGTAACTCAGTGGTATGGCGAATCAAACATAAAAAGAAAAGAAAAGCCAATGGGATAAAGAAAAAAATACAAAAATTTGATACAATGGTGTCGACGATTGACCAGTGAAGGATGTAAAAGTCCCGCAGGCAGCACCCGACTGCAAAATTTGTTTGCCCGATAAGCCACCGAAGTAAACCCAACCACAAATAAAAAAACAAATCTTTCACTTCAACTTTTTTTGCTTTGTTGCCCGAAGTACAGTAATTTATTCGTTAAATATATAATTTTCCGTATGAAATTTCCAGATCGACCAATAATAAAAACGTAAAACGTTTTACGAATAAATTTTCTCATTTTAAGTGCGGTTTTTTTCAGCAAGTTTATTTCGTTCATTTCTCAATTTATTTTCTCCAAAATTTAGAAAAATGTCAAACTTTCGAATGACAGAAAATACTTCTTTCACGACATTTATAAGAGGAAAGAATAACATAAAAATCAAGAAAAATTGAGAACATTGGCAAATTTATTAGAATATAATTTTGAATATTATTTATGTGTAAACAAATATTTTCGCACTCTAAACCGGTAATCAACCAAATGTAACATTTTTATAGGCTAAAAATTCTTTATAATGATCGTCAAATTCTCCGAAAACCAAATTAGCAAAATACCATCAAACACAGTAATAATTTATAATAAATAATTCAATGTGCCGTGCAACAGTTGTAAGTTTCCGAAGAATAACTTGTCACATAGCAGTAGGTTTGTGATGGGCATTTCGGCCGCATACCATTGCATTTAATGAGATATCCAGATGAATCGCGCAATGGTGCACTTCCCTTTGGGCATAGACCATCCGAGAAATACATATCATCCGCTGCATGCGCTATATCAGAGCTTTTGTTATCATCAAATATTCTTAACTTTCTCAATGGAGGTCCTGTAATTCGTGGTTGAACGGAATCATTTAACGTCATCGATAGTTCTGCAAAAATTCGAAAAGCTATTTTGTAATCCAACTGCTTATACCAAAATGTAAAGTAAAAAAGTAAAATAAAAAGCGATATGGCCGCAGGCTGAGGATTAAATCCTCCTGCGTTACAGTCACTATGCCGCCTTATAAATGATCATAAACTTTATAGTTGATGTAAACATAAAAATTTATAATCTCTAGTACTAATCCACGTGTCATGACATCAAAAGTAGATCTGAATCTGACGCGAATCCACTTGCGTCTCTACGCTCTTCTTAAGCAGAGAAATCTACAAATGACCAGTGAATTTAACCATATCAAAAAATGATATATAGAAATGGTATATAAATGGCGGCATGGTGATTATTAGATTCAATGGCTAAGTAGTAAGTTCAAATTTTGAAGGAAAAATTGCTATAATTTTGTTGCAATAGATGCCTTCTTTTATCATATAATCAAATAAATTTTAAATTCGGAAATCGAGAAATTTGAGGAAATTCTGGAAAATGCAGCACTTCTAGAAGTCCTTCTGGTCAACTTAATTACGCTTTCAAATTGTAGCAAAACTAATCCACCTCTTTTCTATCAAATGAAAATTTTATCCTGAAAATACAGTACCAACCCGTTACATTTGGAAAATAAAGCCATTTTTACGATTAATTTCGAATGGTGCGGTGGACGAACCAAAGTTTAAAACAATTTATAAACGAATTTTATCAAATAATAAAATTAACGAGCCTTGAATTCGTACACAAATTTCTTCACTTTTAATGAATCCTGGCTTGCATTTACAACGATTGACGACGCATATTTGATTTTCTCCGCAATTCGATTCATTATCGCAATTCGCTGGACCTACGAAACAGATCTCTTATCATTTTCAAACATACAGTTCAACATGAAGTGCTACATGTATAATTGCGAAAAAAAATTCAATAAATATTAAAGCCAAATGATTATTTATAGATATTTACCACAGATTTTGATGTTTTGATAAAAGATAACCTAGGTCACTACGAACATAATTACTGGTATACTCTGCTAAAATTGGCTGCATCGTTACGCCAAACGAACTAACAGTTATTCTATTACTGGAAGTACATTTGCCATTATCAGCCACAAAATTTCCAACACAACGACAGATTCTATCAATGCAACTAAAATTATATTTCTTCATACTGGAAAGATTAGTTGATTGATCACTTGAATTGAAACGGAATGAAGCCAACTGTGATCGTTGGAGATTTATGATCATTAAGTAAATGCTCTAAGAATAATTCAACCTAATTTCGAATAAAAACGACATACTAAAAAATTATCTTTTAGAGTTGAAAAGATCAAGAATAATCGGATCGATTATCAATGAAAGCGTCAGTTAATGAGCTGTTAAAAAAAAATTTTATCAATCCAAGTTTAATATCAATAATTAGCAAAAAAGGTAATATCCTGATACCTGGAATTTTCAACACATTCTATTGTTTCATTACAAAATTGACCAGGCAATGATTTATGCAAATTTGAAATACATTTACCATTATAAACAATCGGTAATTTAGGAGGGCAGGTGCATAGCTGAAAAATTCTATAAAATTTTTAAAAGTCATCTTCTTGAAGTTGAAAGGGTCAAAGTTTTTGGTTAACGATTAATATTGTATTAACAGTGAAAGACTTTAATTATAAAAGATTTAATTATGTTTGAACTTCAGTCTTCCATTTTCCAAAATAATTCAAGAACTCAACGAAAAATCGATCATCCACATCTCTGAGGGGTCAAAAAAATGAATGATACCTTCGAATGAGAGCAAATGGAACCATCCACACATATTTCGCCGTTGTTACATGGTTCGCTTAGCTTAACAAATTTCATCGCTAAAAATTTTGGTATAAAAATTTCAAAAAAGAATTCTGGTTGCTTACACTGAAAAAAATAGTTCAACTATTGAAGCTTCAAGAACTTCAGAAAAGCTTTAAAATCAAAAATCAAAAATCAAAAATAAAGCAGATAAAATATTTCAACGATCAATATCAAAGTTGAAGAAACTTGTAAAAAAACGGACGAGATGCGGTCCGAACCGAAGTATTTGGTTCGCAGAGACCACTGGTTTCTGATTTATGGGATCCAGCAGGACAAACACATTCACCATCAATACAAAAGGAACTTTTTTCGCATATATCTAATGGCCCTGAAAAGTTACTATCATATCATGACGATTATATAACATAACATGACGATTATGCATAAAAAGCCAAATTCACCACCTAAGTTTTAATTCTTTTAAACTTTATTTTATTTTAAAATCGCATAATTAAATAAATTAAATTAATTAAATTAAGACTATGTTATATATGAACATGTCAGAAAAATCAGAAAAATACCGCATTGGTCGCCTGCTTTTTTCACGGTTATATTCCCATCTTTCATGTATGGTACCACAGTATTTGTTAGTTTTGATGGCATCTGAAGAAATATGAGACCTGTTTATTGGCTCATGAATAAAAATAAATCCATTATTTGGTTATCTCTTCTTCTTTTATCTTCTTTTATCTCTTTATTAATACATACGTAATGAATTGGTTTAATGCATGTTCCTCTAGTAACGATCATTAAAGGGTCAGGGCATACACACCATTTTTCACTACAAACAGAGCCACCAGAACAATCACGCGTTTCCAAGCAACTTCCACCAGGTGGCGAATTAAGTTTTTGAATATCTAAAGATAATGATAAATTAAGCGATTTTATAAAAAACGAAACACCAAAATAGCACCACTGAATTGCTAACAGATGGACACACGTGGCTGACAAATAAAAAAACTAAGGAAATGAATAAAACGTGCAGATAGAAAACGAATTGAAAATTACATAAATTAGGAAAAACAGTAAATTAGCAAAACATTTGAATTAAATTAAAACTTTGCCAAATTTAAAATTTTGAAAATCTGAAAATTTTTAAAAATTTTGTCCAAAGTATTACATTAAACTGAATTAAATATTGAGGGAAAAAAGCAGTTTTGGTATAAGCAAAATAATATTTTTGGGTGAAAACTAAAAAAGTTAGAAAAATGAGACCAGCACAGATATTTATTTATTGATTTGATACAAAAGTTCAAATCGTGAGGTAAAAAAAACTAAATTAGATTGGAAGAAGAACAGACCGTATTAATTTATTTAAACCTTGACCCATTGACCCATTGATTGTGCTGGAGACCCATTTATACTTCTATCCCCAACTGACTCTTGTAAAAGCGTTTCATTCTAGCAATCAATGAAGTCAGCAAAACTAGAAATTAATGCCAAAAAAATTAGGCTACAAACACATGTAAGTAAGGAATTGCAAATCAAAAAATATGATGGGGGAAAAATTCGTTAAAATTACCTCGTATTTTTAATGAGTTGTTAGAGTTACATGTAACGTTGCTCCTTGTGGTGCTTGATGTACAAGAATCATGCAAGAATTCTTCATTAGGTACCAGAAGCAAATCCTTATTTTGAATCTTACCAGCAGTACTTGATATTGGTGCATGGTAGCACCTGCGACTGCTACAAATTAAATTAGTGGCTTTTAATCCTTTAAGTGATCTACGTTTAATTGCTGCCTTACATATACCATCAACACAATGCGACGATTCACCACAAAATGTACTGCTTGTACAATGCTCGCCCGGCAAACGGTAGAGTCGTTCTGGAATACATCGGCTCGAAATCATTTTATAACCGTCATTGCATTCACAAATTGATTTTTGCGAGCAAAATGAGTTATCAACACACGAATCATGAATATTATTGCAAATTTGTCCTGGTAGAATAGGTGCAAATTTATCAAATTTATCAAAAAGATAAGATTTGAGGCAATGATTGAATATAAGCAAATCTTCCCGACCACACTGACATTTTTCCTTTAAGCAAATTGCACCATTAACACATTTTTTTCTAGTCGTGCAATATTCGTTCAATAAGGCATGGCTGCTTAGAAATTCTCGACATACATTATCAATGAGATATTTGCCTGTTGGGCAAAGACAAATTCGTCCATAAAAGCCGAGATTCTCGCAGATTGAGCCAAAGAGGCATTTTTCGCCAAAATCACATCGGTCTAAAGGCATTCTGACTGAGTTTCGTCGATGATAAACAACATTCACCTTATTCGAATCAGTACAATAAGAACCTTCCTTAATAGTTCCATTCTTACAACGACAAAATTTTCCTATGCATATAGAATTACCAATACATATTTTAGTAGTTCCACAAGCTTCACCAGGCTTGGAATAGCCTACCGGTTTCCGTCGCAATAATTTAGCAGTTCTTCGATTAGGATTAAAGAATATGATTTTTTGAGTTATAGGGTTTCCTTGTGCAAGCGGACTCATTAACATATTTGGCATCCATGTTTGCTCAATGTTTCTCGCATCGATCAGTCGCTTTTCTCCCATTGTATAATCATAATTATCGATATAGTCTTGATTCATTTCTATCAAATCATTTCCAATGTTAATTAGATCGCTTTCATCATAAGCATCTGTAGAACCATCATCATTTTCAAATTGTACAGGAATTTCGAAGGAGGCTTGTGATGTGGTGAATGAATGTGGTGAATGAAAAGGTGCAAATGAAACTAAACGTGCTTCAATATCACTCATCATGTAATAAGGCAAACATAACGCTTGATTATTTTTTTGTTCAGCGACGTCACAAATGCAATACCCATTGTAGCAGAAGGCATAATCATTGCAGTCGGAATTTATGTCACACTTGTAGTTTTCTAATAATATCATACATTCGCCATCATTAAGTGAAAATTCTCTTGGACATTCACATATACCCGAATTTGTATCACAGTATGAACGATAACCGCAAATTTGTCCATTTGAGCAATCTTCGCCAGGCCTTGCCAAATTTTTTCGAATACAATACCCTGAACTTGCAATATATGACGACTGACATGTGCAAAAGCCTCCAACACAACGTGCATATATAGGGCATTGTTCAGTAATATCACAGTTTTCATGCAACTTTGCCATTTTCAAATGGCAAGCCTCATTTATTGGAGAATAGCCGAGTGCGCATATGCATCGTTGGTTAACGCATCGTGCACCGTTCCAACAAAATCCTTCGATTGTACACCTATCACCAGGCATTCCCGTTAATTCTGGATTAATATTAGATTGCGCAGTGTTCAGCTGAGAGCTCTCTTGCATCTGTGAAAAAAATAAAGGTGATTCAAACATCAAGTAAAAGGGATTTTGAAGAGAATGATTAAAATTTAATAGGCCATTGTGTTTTGCTACACATTCGAATACACCATTTTCTAGACCACTACTGCACTTGCAAATTCCGCCAACACAGTGAGATTCACCGACACAATCCAGGCCATACTTTCGATCGCATTTACCTCCTGGTAGTACCTTATATAATGCTTTTCTGCAGTACTGTTCGATGATAGTCTCCCCAGGTTTACAACGACAAACATTTCGTATACATTCGGTAGAAGGATGGCATTTTGTGGCTTGAGAACAAATGGATCCAGGTAAAACAAATTCATTTTCATTATTTGAAGTTGTTGAATCGTTGATGCATTCACCATATTTAAGAAGAGTTCCAGCAGGACAAGTACAATTATTTGCGAAACAAACGGAACCTCCAGTACAAATGATTTCTTCTCGACAATATTGTCCTGGTGCAGCGTTATCAATTAAAACCTTTTGATCAGTTTTAATACAAATATCATTCGAAATAATTTCATCATTGTTGCAAATGCACATTTTCGTAATACAATTTGAGCCACCAAGGCAGAAATCTGAAGGGATGCAACTTTCTCCGGGCTTTTTTAAATTGCTTGTTAAATGGTCTTTCCATTCATCAAATGTTTTTTTTGTTTCCAGGTAGTCATTTCTTCCTTGCTTATTCAGCCTTTTGCAACTATTATCAACGATATGAAAATTGAACGAACACATACATACACCAAACATGCATATGCTACCATTTGCACATTTTTGTCCTTGCTGACAACTTTGGCCTGGTGATGACACGCCCAGGATGCACTGTGGTCCATCTAAGATATAGCCATCTGGGCATTGGCATTTGGCTAAAGCACAGATTGCGTTGCCGGTACAGATTTGTCCATCTGCACATCTTCCACCAGGTTTTTGTCTACATCGACCATATAATTCAATTGAACTATCCGTGCAAATGCATGTCGAATTTGTGCAAACTGATCCACCTGCGCAACGGTCATTTATTCCACAATGGCTTCCAATAGGTTTGAAGGCACCGCTTAGTTTTTTGCAACCGTTTTCCTTAAGAAGGCTACCAAGTAAATTTTTCAATAAGTAAAAAGAAAATAGAATGGTCCATTTATTATATTTTTTCCTAAAATTAATTTTTAAGTAATTTCGACTTTTAATTAACTTCTCAATGAAGAAGAAATAATTTTTGATTTTAATTTTCATAATATGGAAGAAATCGTAAAATAATGAAATAATTCAGCCTTATCTGACATTGTTCCACATTTATTAGACCAAATATTGGTGAGAGAGAATACACAGGCAGTGGATCAGTATAGCAATGAAAAAGATATAAAGATGAAACAGGGAGGAAAATGGAAGACAAGCAAGTGAGAACAGGGAAAAGAAAGCAGTGCGTCGGATAAGAAGGAAGTGTATTATAGTTATTTTCAATTATTTTTTAATATATATATAAATACATTTACATAAATACAGATGAGCCAGCTGCTTGCGGCAGACTCTTAGTCAGGTAGGAAGGACGGTACTATGAAAGAGCCTCAAAAAATAACAATTACCAACTAATAACTTGCCTCCACACAACGTGAGAGGTACCACCAGGAATTATAGTCATCAAGCTACAAGACAATATGAGCTAATTAAACGGGCCTCAATCCAGTTTACGAAGATAAAATCTTGATGATTTCGACAGTCTTAAATTAAATTCTCTTAAAATCCAAAGATCCAAAATTCTCTTACGATCGATAGTAATTGTAATAGTAGTTGCCGTACTTTTAATTCACTTAGAAAATTTTCTAACCATTTTTTAATTCAAGAAACACCTGCTTTGTATATCCTTCGGAGCATTTGCATTCCGTATTGCTACATTTATAACCTGCACCACAGTCCCCATCTTCCAAGCAACGTTTTCTTCTTTTTTGCATTCCCCCAATATTTCCTTTTTTCATTAGTGAACAACCATCGATGGTACAAGTACATCTATTAAAAATGCATAATGTATCCTCCGGACATTCAGCATTATCTTTGCAAGAAATTCGCTTGCATTGGTTTTTTATTTTTATATGCCCTTTCTTACACCAACACCGCCCATGAAGACAACGACCACCGGTACATTTATATTGGTTAGGCCGACAGTCTTTTTCGCTGATCCAGTCATATCTTCGAATATGTTCATATGGTACAAAGTTTTTCGTACCTCGTAATGAAACGTTATTCATTGTTTCTCTAAATTTGGCCAAATTGTAGCGATGATCCTTTAAACACAAAGTGTTTCGCCTTAACGTTCCAGGAGTACAACCACATTTCCCATTAAGACACTTGAGATCAGGTGGGCATTCATTAGAGCGCTTACATGTTATTCTTTTGGAACTTTTTACGCGCAAATAAATTTTATTTATGCATTGATGCTGAAACTCAACGAGCGGAAGAAGACATCGGCAAACTGACTGAAAGCACACGGAGCCTGCAGAACATGCATCAATATCCATAGAACTATTACATGCACTGCCTGGTAGAAGAATTCCTGAAAGAATCGTGCAAAGAAATCATGCATGTATTGGTAAAAACGAATTTCAAATAATGAATGTCGAAAGAATTTGTTAAGGAATGAGATTGGAAAAATCTTTTTACACTACGTTTGATTAAACAAAAAAGCACTTAGGAAAAAGAACAAAAGCATGAAAGAATGGGCAAAGAATGAACCGGGTTTGCAAGTTTGTTCGACAGCCCTAAATTGACTGGGACATATACATTGATTCTGCTCGCATTTAGTGCCATTATATGCAAGTGAACACTGCATATCTTCCTCGCAACCATTTTGTCCAGGGTAAAATACTGCAAATTTCTAATGTTTAGTGATTTTTCATTCCAGTAACAATAGTGGGAGGAATTCAACCACATTTCTTTCAGCTATGGTACCTTGATGGAAACACAAGATTAAGACCTTAAAAGGAAAAGAAAATAATTGCCTTTGCCAAAATACCCTGCAAAAAAATATAAATTATATAAAAATATATAATACATCCAGTGTCTCGTAATTTAAATCCAATGAAAGTGACGAACTGTTAGCTAGGATATAGATATTTAGTTAATGTGAACTTGATTTTAATCTTATCTAAATATTTTTATGAAAATAGTGCTTGAGGGAATAATTTACGCTAATAATAAATAAATAAACACACTTAAATAAATAAATAAACATACTTTGTTTGCAAATATTTTTGATAGCCACATGAGTAGATAGACACTGGCAACTTGCTGGATCAGTATTGCCTTTGCAATATGCACCAACCATACAATCCGTATTTATAGTACATTTCATTCCCACCAAAGCCTTTTGTTGATTCTGATGATATGGCATTGTCATAAATATTGTATTTGCGAAATTCGCTGAGGCTTGAGTTGTTGGTACTAAAAAAATTTTTTGAATCTTATGAAAATATTGCACGGAATAAATGATTTGAAAAACAACTGATTTCTAAAAAAGTTCATAAATGGTTGTTGATTTTATGATTCTTATAACGAGTATATTATCCATGCCGATACCCGATATCCATGCCATGGGAGTAGGTCGAGTAGTCATTGCTGTTGCAACTGGCTGACAATTGCCATCTTCCAGTATTGTTCCAAAAGGACAAGTGCAAATTATTTCAGTGTTATCGCAAACCGAGCCTGATGTGCATATTTCCCCATTGCTACATCTTTGTCCCACGCCTGTTAAAAATTTAAAATTTATCACTCATTAATTTCCAAATTCTTCTGATTATACGAAAAAAGAACTGTTTACCCAAAGCGATCTTACGATTGCATTAAAGAGTCCATTAAATTGCACCTAATTATGTCTTCACTTAACCTCAAATTATTCAGGTCAATGAATCGGCAGTGCATATTTAATCTGCCGACTCGATATCTTTAATAAATGAATGCAAAATTAAATAAATTTGGCAAAAACTTGTGTTCGATTAAAAAAATAAATAATGAATAATGAAATATTCAAAAAATTCGCACCAACTTCCTTGCGTACGATACATCGTCCTTTAAAGTCATATCGAGGTTCAAGACACAGGCATCTACCATTCATGCATAGTGCATCATAATCACATTCGATCGATTGAGCACAAGGCGATCCAATGCCTAAATAATTCTCCATAGTTCTTTCATCAACACGATATTTTTATTATTTTCAGAAAAGTAACCTTTTTTGGCAGTAGATCTCATTTCATTAGGAGAAACACAGATATTATTTTGCGCGACCATATCACCTGGACAAAGGCATCGCCTCATGGGATATACACACAGAGAGCCACCAAGACATTGTTCGTCATGTGAACAATCACTGCCTGGTAGCGCAGTTTGTCCTAAATATTAATAAGAGGATGGCTGAGTAGAGTTGAACGGAATTGGCAAACTAGTGAGATAGCCAACTGAATCATATTTTTAGGTGGTTGGAAAAGTTTGAAAATAGAAGTTCTTTTAAAAGTTCATTACAAAAAATTTTCAGTAATCTGTACCAAATTTCAGTTGTTTAACATCACCAATTTCTTGATGAAATTGTGACGGTAAATGAAGTTGTAATGATTGCCCATTAATTTGTTCCACATTATTAGATGGAATGAAAACTGGATTTATTTGCAGTGATGTAATCATCTGAAATATTGTACGAAATGTTGTACAGTTATTTTCGACGGGAGTTTAACAAATGGCAATTTCCAAATGGCAGTGATGGTTCATGTCTCATTAGCACGATTTCACTGGCGAGGAATAAACTTATAATTATTAACAAAGAAAGTCGAATGGAGTTCTTTTCCTTGTCCTTGTACAACTTGTTCTGCTAAGAAAATACCAAATAACTTCCCAAATATGAAATAGTGATTCGCATAATCTGTTAATATATAACGGTAATTTCCGAACCACTCTAGTGGATTTCAAATATTACTAACTTGTCCAGAATCAGTCGTATCGAGTATACAGGAAAGTGTCTCCAGTTGGGCTACAGTGCCGTGCGGACAAATGCATTTTAGAAATTGGGGATCACACACACTTCCTCCAACGCACTGTTCGCCCGCAGCACAAGTGCTATTCAATATAGCTGAAAACTTATTTTTTTAAGGAATCCCGATAATCTCAAAGCAAGGTCTTCAACTTTCTCTTCACCTCATGTATAGAGAAAGAAGCGAATTTAATTTATTTCCATTTTAAAATACATTTTTATACCTGATTTACTGAGGAATTCTAGAAAAACCTTGTAGCTGAACTTTAACATTTTAGTTTTTAAATTTCGTCACCAAATATATTCCTTTTAATAATTGTAACTACAACAATAGTAGAAAACAAACAGTATTAATAAACCGATAAATATACCACGGACCAAAAACAATGAAGATAAAAAACATGTTGGCCTGTTGTAAATATAAATATAAATCTGTGTACAAATGACTACTGGAAAACTCTAAGGTAAAAGAGAAAAAAGGGGAATTTCATCAAAAGCCATTAATCCATGTTATCTGAAGGAATTAATTGTGAAAATATAATTTAAAAAAATTGTGAAGAAAGAAAAAGGGAACCGAAATTGGCCTTATTAGTTCTTTTCGCAGCTTGGCATCTTTGATTAACAAAATCGAAATATGATCCAAGTGGGCAAAAATTTTTTTGCCAAAAACCGAGCCCTCTAAAGAAAAAATTTCAACCTTTAGAAAAATTTTTAGCTGGCAGACCTCTATTTACTGCATTTCTTAATTTTAGGCTAAAGTCGTAAATTCTGCAAAATTTTTTTCGCATTTAGGTTAAAATACTTTAAGTGGTAATTAATGCTTTGTTCAATAAATTAAATTCATTCATTCATTAAATTTTCATATTCATTAAATTTATATAAAATATTGTTTAGTGAAATTTAGATCTAAGCTTAAACTTAAGCATACTCCAGAATAATTATTTCAATAAAAAATCATAAACCATACCCAAAATTGAAACCACTGATACAGCGATAATAAACGTCAATATTGTTCTGATCTGCTAATAAGATTGTGTCCCGAGCCGTATCACAATATCCTTGTAAATTTGTAATAGGCACTGAATCATAGTTCGTCATATCTTTCTAACTTATGAGTTGGATCTGATCAGCTGGATTTTAATGTAAAGCAGGTAAAACGGTGGGTAAAACGTATGGTTTTGAACCAACGTCCTTATAATTTGCTAAATAAATATAAATGCTTCGAGTTAAATTCTCAAAACCTAGTGAATCTTCGACTGCAATTAGCATATCATTTCCAGGAGAAAACCACTAAACTCGACTAAAATTCAAGAAATTCAAAATGTTACCTGCTAACAAATGTTGATAAAAACCGAAAAATACACCAAAAAAAGCAAAAAACATCCTAAATTCGCTTAAATCTGAAATATAACTAGATAAAGTAGAAAAAGGTCAAATCATATGACTATAGCTTTGGTGAAATAGCCCCTAAATTCCATTTGTTTAAATAAAGGATGTTAGAAAAATTGATATATCGAGAATAAACGCTTAGAGAATATGAAATACTAAAATAATCCAGATAATTGACTTTACTAAGCATTTGATTCCTTGAAAAAGATATTTGCAAAGCCACTTTTCAACATTCATAATCCCTGACCAAATAAAATTATTCGGATTTTGAAGTAGCTAATTGATAACGCTTTGCAGTTATCATAAACGATTTATGATGAAAAAAATTTTCGCAATATAGAAAATAAAAATAAGCTATATTTCTTTTATATAGTGCAACCAGGCAGGCAAGAAGTGATAATGATGATGATAATAATCCTTTTTATAGAGTTTTCACCATTACCAGTTAAACTCGCTCCGCTGGCTTGTCGCACTGGACAAATATGCTAGAGTCCCTCGGCGATGGAAATACAGGTGAGTCGCCAGCATCACCCTTTGGACACGTTTACTCCTGCGGGGACAATCGCGGATAATAATCCATAGGGACAGGATAATCGATGACTCGAATAAGATTGTAAGAAGGCTTTTCAGGCTTCTCCAGGCAGATAGTCACCAGTACTTCTATTCTCTGGTCAAGGACTCTCTGGTCAAAGCATTTCATTCCATCAGTTAAAAAGAAAGAGTCATAATTAAATGACATACAAGCAAAAATAAAAATTTCGCTACAAATGACAATTTCGGTACAAACAAAGCGAAATAATTGAAACCGTAAAATAAAATAAAATTAAATCGAACTAATGCGTTTCGTACAATGAATAAACTCAAATAATTGAGAGAGTCACGACCGACAATGCATCAGTCGGTTCGTCCATCCATCCCATTCCATCCCATCCATCCATCCATCCATCCATCCATCTCTCCAACACCATCGACGAAGTGGTCACTCACTCTCGTCTTTAGTGGTAAACATCGTCGCAACCTCTTCGTAAATTTTGAAGTAATTATTCTTTTTGTATTTTTTTCTCCGAAAATCACAATGGTTTGTAATTTTCAAATTATTATTCAGTGCAGAAAATTTCTATGGTGTGACCTCTAACCCTAATCAATATTGAATGTTTCATTTTTAATTGCATTACCGCAGTTTACCATATCACTGGATATTATATTTTGTCAAATTTGCCATAAATCATATATATATATTTATTATACTACATAAATCATATATATTTATTATATACAATGCATCCGCCATAATACATATTTGAAATTTGATTTTCCATTTAAAACGAATAAAAACGAATGTATTGTCCGGAAATTACACAAGCTGTGGATTCAGATTGGATCACTAATGGTACTCTCAGTTAAAGAACGAAGAAGAGGAAGAATGGAGCATATGGTAATGGTCTGAACATTGCGAAAATTTTTAGATAAAAATGCTTTTTTTTATTTTGTACTCTGTCGTTGAAATTAAATTTTATAAAATTTTTGAGATTCATTCTAATTAAAAATGCTGAAGCAAATGTTAACATAAAATTCCTTATACATATCGCTGATGGCAATTTCTCCAAATAAAATCTTGAGAAAACTCACTAGGCTGAGACCACTGGTTTTTAGAGATAACCGAGTGATTGTCATCAGGGTATAGACTCTATCTCCAGTAGGAATAAACCTCTCACTAAAAAACCAGGATGGTACAGTCTGCATGTTCTCTTATTGTCAGATGACTTCTTGGCAAAAATTTTTCATATTATTAGGGAGTGAAGCGAGTTCAACTAGAAACGATACGCGCTAATCACTTTTACTTTAAGTATTACTGATTTAAAAAAATCTCGAAGGATCATTTAGTTTAGTAATTTCCACCGGTACCATTCATTAGATTTTTCCTAATTTACAATATATAATAAATTTTTCCTGGAATCTCTACTAAATGTTTAGATTTGCACAATTTCGATATTACTTTTTAAAAACGACAACTTTGCTTACTGCAACAAAATTTTTTTATAAGCAGAATAATTCCTAAAATTCTTTGAACAAATAATCCGATGATCTATTAAAACGTCAAACCAAACATTTGTACCAAACAAAGAAATAAAAGAATATAAAAAAATTTTAAAGCACAAAGGACCATTAGCAAATAGAAATATGGAGTACCACTACTGAGCACATAAAGTAAAATGTCATAAATTAGAATATCCATAATCCATAAGAAAAAAGAGAACAAAAAAATTAATTGATAATAAGCAAAAGACATTAATTAAGGGAAATTAAGGGATAAATTAAGAAATTAAGGAGGAAAACAATAAAGCAATAAGAAATGTAATGCAATAGTCGATCGCTTTTTTTGTGACAATGAAAAATTAACTAACTAATTTGCGCAAAAAAGGTGAAAATTATATTTCCAATTTTCATTGCAGAAATCCTCAACAATTCTAAATTTTATTTTTCGATCGTTTGAAATCAAAGCTTTCTTATCAAAATATACAAAGTTAGGCTTTGTTAGGCTTCTTCTTGAGTAAAATGTAACCTGTTATTCCCATAGATACTGCAAATCAAGCAAATCACTTGAAGGACTCCAAAAATACTTCGTAAAGCACAAGTTCAACTATACAGCCTAAACGCTCTCAATTCGTCGAATTAAACAAGATTGATTTATACATAAAAATTGTTTGTGTCAAATTAGATTGTGCAAAATATTAGCATTTTGGGTTAAATTTCAAGCCAACAGGATCTAATGGGCTAAAATTATTAAAATTCAAACCTAAATTCAAAACTAAGCTAAGAACGCTTGTCTTTTTCATTAGTACCATTAATTACTGAAGTCTCTGAAAGTCACTGAATAATTTGTGCATCATCCTTAGCTATTTTTTAAAAAATTAAATAATATCATCCATGATATTATTTAAAAGATTCGCATTATGAAGATAGTTTGAGACCTTTATCATTTATGATATGTGCCAATAATTCAGTTCGATTTGTGTTATCCTGTAATTCCCCTTTATTTGTAGTGTTTCTCTTTGTATTACCTCTTGGTTATATTCCTTTCGTTTCTTATATCGTTATCATTAATTTCTTTCATTTGACATCCATTTTGTCGTTATCAGTGCAAAGACATGGTTGTCGTGCCGTTTGCTTGATTCAAATGAATCGTAAATATACATACAGCCGAAATATATGATCCTTAAATTCATTTTACACCATTTTATACCAAAATATAGCTTTATTTTATACTTTTACTTAAATGCAACCCATTTTATTTATGAATATTTATTTACAATATATATATATATATGTATGTTGGACTACCCTACCGTTGGTTTAATTGGATATTATGAATATTGCCAAATTTATCAAATTTTTTACACAGTGGTTATTATATATTTGTTGTTGGGACTTCTAGCAGTGTCTCTCAAGAATGTCAAGATATGGTGCTGGTGTCTCACTTGTATTTTTATAGAATTTTTGGCAGAATTTGTCTGATCCAATAAGCTGGGCAAGTAGAATTCTTAATAAGAAAATTCGGCCATTCAAAAAGTTCCTGCGGCTTTGTTGTATGGCCAGATATCTTTTTCATTGAATCGGCTTTGCCATATATTATAGTGCATTCTTTTCTTTTAGTAACGGCCAATTTGTCTCTTGTTAATCATCCAGACTGCATATGGAAAGTTGTTTCTGTTTCCTGGTTTCTGGAACTTTAAGAACCTGTTAGGAAATTACAAAGTTTCATAAAACTACATGTAATTATTAAAAATAATTTAGAATATTCAAAATATTTTTGAAAGGTTGATCTAATTTTGCATTTTCTATAATCGTTATGAAATAGTGCATCCTTGCATTTTTGGATGTATTTTTTTTAAAATATGCTAAATAATGGTCCAAGCAGTTGTGGTCCAAAATTAGTCTCTTCATTAACAAATTCTTTATATTAAAGTTCATTTCCTTTTTTCCTATGCCAAGGTCACTCACTTCTGTTCGTTTATCTGATAACTTTATCAAATATCAAATAACAGGTCATTTCACTCCTTTTAATCCTCCTACAATCCTCGTAAATACTCTTTAAATATTACAGGCAAAATTATCGTATTTAAATGTTGTCTGTTAAATTAAAATTTTTATCAGTTTTGATGTTATTTATTACTTTCGAATAAATTAACCAAATCATCTATTAAGAAAATTAATTTAAAATGCCTATGATAAGCAATCTACTTAAAAGCAAACAAGGAAGTAAAATATGAAAATAAACAATGCTTTAAGGAAAAAAGAAAGTAAAACAATTGTTTTGGCTGTTATAAACCTTCGCGAGGAATATATTTTTGCTAAATTATAGTCGAGCTAAATTATAATAATTTTTGCTAAATTTACGAGTGCTTATGGGTCTGCATCACGCTCACCACTTCTTGTTAGACTCGTTCCCTTGGTTACCATAGGGTTACTGGTGAATTACTAACATTATCTAGATTTCTGAAAGATAAGTTTATTTCTACATGTAGGAACAAAAAGTATCAATGCAAGATCCTCCATAGGATGCACATTTACAAACAGTTAAGGTGGTAGTAGTAATAGAATGAGAAATCCTACAAATAATTGAAAAAAGTTGTAGACATTACCACAGAGCGAGTACCAGGAATAAGCACCAAGCTCAAATCCATCGGATCAGGGATTTGATGCATTAA